CATCGGTGATTTTTCCATGATTTTTGGCCCACTCGATCTTTTTAAACGAATTTGTTATGTCAACACTTAAGGCTTACGTCTCTCTTCTGTTCTATGAGTTTATTGAAATCTAGTTGAATATTTAATACTGTAAAAAATATATTTCGTGTCACAATAGAATTTCTAATCATTTGTTCAGCGTTACTGACAGATCGATGACTGTATGATTTGCTAAATGATCGCTGTGTGACATTAACGCGAATTGTTTGAAAGCAATTTGCAAGAATGCACCCAACATTGAGACATGTCACTCTCCTTTCGTTATACTCTTCATGCACGATTGTGCAACTTTAATTGTTGATATATGGAGACTGGGTCACCCTTTGTCTCGATCACTACTATGTCTATGTTTATCGTACGCTCCTCTGTTGTTGGCTATTATGGGAGATAAGACATTTTTTATACATATTGGCTGAAAAGAAAAAAAATGAATTATGATAATTAATGCATCGATAAGCTTATTCAGCAAAGTAATCTTTTTAATAATTTAAGTACAAATATATGCACATATATTGAATTATTGTTATATACTATAAATATATACATTTTTATCATATATTTGAATAAAACTTGTAAAATTTATTTAAATCATTACTATCTTGCGTTTTGTTTTTATTAATGCACAATTTTTCTACTCACATTCAATTTTTCCATTTTCTTCAACATTTTAATTTGCGAAAGATAAAGATTTAATGTAGTAATTTATTGTTAGTGTAGCTAAAAGGACAGATCCCATGATAGACTAATATGAAGAGAGCAATTACAAAATCAATACGAACAAGACAATTTTTGCTCACAATTGCACGGCACGAGAAATGATAATAAGAATTTTTCATTAAACTTTTAGGAATTCAGACGCAACTTCTGTAACTCGTGTTCTAGCATATACGTGGAGTCATTATAAAAATTCTGTGATAAATTAAAGCTAAAAGTCGTGCTAGCTTGGAAGACATTACAAAAGAAATATCCAAGTGAGAGATCGTCCACGCGATTTTGCACAAAATAATCTCCCTGTGACTTAGCCTGATTGATGTGGTCATCAGGATCCAAAAGTTGGCCTGTATTATACTTTTAAAATATACCTCATGATGCTAAATGGAGGAGAGACGAAAAGCAGAAAAATTCGAAAAGGCTTGTTATCGCGACAGCTTGACAGAACTAGTCTCGTAAAGACACCTATAATTTCACGTTTATTGGACGAAGTTAGTTCACAGATTACACCGCGAAATAGCGCAGCAATGATCAGAATTTTCTCGAAGCTCATTTATGGATTCCATCAAGAGATAGCGGCAATGCCAAGTTCACCATTTGCAGAGCGGCAATGTCAATTATAGAGTTTCCCGAACATGTTACAATGAATTTAATTCAATATAACATGCAATATAACATGTATTTCGATAAAAATTATTACATTAAAATCACTTCTTTTTAATTAAAAATG